CTAAGAGTCGCAACCTGGACCTAGGACCGAACTGTTATTGTATGTAACGTTAACAGGGATAAGAACAACAGAAAGAACATAAGGAGACTTGAGAAACTACTCACAACAGTAAGGATCTGATTATGATGAGCAAGGATTACCAGAATGATTCCGCAAGGAGCTCAAAGANTAGAGCTTCGGAGAGAATATCAGATGATCAATTTATCTAAAAATTGTGTACGTGACTAAGCGTCAGCAAGAAGATGTTATGTTTCTCTAACACTCCCGAGTTTACTCTCTCAGTTCTCTATACTGTCTGAATCAGAAGGCTGGCTCTGTTTCGTTGTACGCCCGACATTTAGGCTCCGCCCACAACTCCTCGCCGCAATTCGCAGCTTTTTAGTTACCGTAATTTGAAATTTTATTTTCCTAACCCAGGCGGCCTAAAGTCTCAGTAATTTATGGTTAATGACTATCTCAGTCCTATCTGTTCTTTCAGACCAAAAAAAGAGAAGTTCACGATTTATTTTTTTTAATACATTTTTTTTATACATCGAGAATTAAATTTTTTTTTTCATCAGTGAACACATCATACTCGTTTTTCAAAACTACTCCTCCTAGTTTTACAGTACCACATGTTTTTTTCACAACAACATGTGACGATTTAACATCTATAAAGCTTTCTTTGAATTTCATAAACAGAAGTGGACGGTTAATTTTAGAAAATTCGTGTACGTATTTTTCTATATTTTTTATGAGGTCGGCATACTGGTCGATTTCGAAATTACCTGAGCCATATACATCTTGATGTAATCTAAATGATGTATTATTACAAAGCTGATTGAAAACAACTTACTTCTCAGCAGATTTCCAACAGTGATATTTAAGAAATTGTCTCTTCATAAACGATGGCTCACATACATCAATCGCGAAGTCACTTAAATGCCTCATCGACGCGTGCGACTTGAGGTCTATCCCACCGGAGAGGTATAGTTGTTTCACCATATCTTCCTGAAAGAAAATAACTTCGAAAAAAGTGTTTGTTAATTCTACCAGTACCATTCATTAGAAAAAACTAAAACAAAAACATTCTCGACAACTTGAAATTTTATTACGTTGAAAACAACAAAAAAAACAACATATTTGAGCGTAAAATCAAATTCTGATATGAAATTTAAAAAAACGACCGGGTCATTTATTTTCCCGTAAAAATAATTTCCACGTGACGCGTTTCCGCGGGGGTATATAAGCCCTAGAGCTTCTGAATCACATCAGTTGGCGGTGTGAGCCGGTGAGCTCCACTCCACTCTCCATTCCATCTTGTTACCTTCCTAAAGAATGAGAAGAGACTGTTCATCTGCAGAACAAGCTAACATATGTTAAACTTCTCTTAGTTGAGATTAGGAGCA